TTTGGGGTAAATACCCAGTAGTGCAATTGCTGGGTAGTAGGGTAGCTCTATTTTCAACTTTTTGAGGAACCTCCATACTGTTTTCCAGAGTGGCTGTACCAGCTTGCATTCCCACCAACGGTGTAGGAGGGTTCTTTGGGGGAGCTTTTATGGTCATATATTTCTTGGTTCCACTCTTAGAAATTTGAGCCAGTAAGTCTTAGGTAGGGATCAAGATTCAATTGTAAAAAGGCAAGCTCCTGGATAATTTTCATGTAGTTAGGCTAGCACTGGGGAATCACTACTAGTCAAAGAGGTGGGAAGAGAAAACAGTTTGTACAAGTCTCTGAGACAGCCAATTTAAGGATCTGAAAAAGGCAGAAGTATAGCTCAAACATAGAACATTTAAGAGAGACTAGAGAGGTAGATAGGGGATGGGTTACTTAAGGCCTCCCTCCAGGTCGTGGGAAAGAGTTTAGATTTTAGTTTTAGTTTTGTTTTTAATATTAGGATAAATACAGTTAAGTTATATTAAAAAAGAGCACTGGAAAAATAAAAGAGCACCCTGGAAATGGGTTAGTACTGTGGTCGGAGACTTGCATTAGTCCCAGAGGAGATGATATTTTGGACTAGGGTAGTCGTGACAGTGGAAATGGAGAAAAGTGGATGGATTTATGAGAGAGATACAGGAAGTAGCATTGAAAGATCTTGGTAGTTGATTAATAGTTGAAGTTAAAAATACCATCATCTGGGGCGCCTGGGTGGCTCAGTTGATAAAGCAGCTGCCTTCAGCTCAGGTTGTGATCCCAGGGTCCTGGGATCGAGCCCCACAGCTGGTGGCTGGCTCCAGGCTCAGCAGGGAGTCTGCTTCTCCCTCTGCCCTTCCCCCTGCTCATTCTTTCTCTCTCTCAAATAAATAAACAAAATCTTTAAAAAAAAAAATCACCATCTTTCAGATGTCTGATTTCAGCATCTTTGTGGATGGTGTCACCATGTACTGAAATGGGGAAACATTGGAGGAGAAGGGGATTGGGGGAAGATAGTGAATTCAGTTTTAGACATAATGAGTTTGAAGCACTTATGAGATATTCACATAGTTAGGAGCTCAAAGGAAGAGCCTGGATTAAAGATGGAATTGGAAGTTGTCGTACAGACAGTATATGGTACAGTCTAGGAAGAAAGAATGAGAAAAAGAGCTTTAGGATACCTCCTAAATTTATATATCCTTTGGAGACTGAGAAATAACACCAGTAGAGGAGGAGGCAAACCAGGAGAGTTTCATAAAAGTGGTTATCACCAAATTCAGAACAGAAATGATCAGCTGTGGCAAAATGCTGCTGCAGAGTGTTCTTTGGATTTAGCAACAGGGAGGGCAAAAGGTCATGGAGCCAATGGAGTGCTGGGCCCAGAACCCAGATTGAAATAGGAGATGAGATGGGGATAGTGCCTTGCTGCTGGCATAAGGCTGCTACTGGCTGTAGAAACCCTGGCAAGGACCCACTGGGAAATTGAACTGCTTCAGGTGGGCCTGAGAGCCAGGCTTCTCAATTAGTGACCTGAAAAAAGGAATTTGCCTGCGATAGCCACTAAAATTCGATCTGGATGACTGCCTTTTCTCACAGTATTATTTATTTGAGGATTTTTTTTTGTTTTTTTTTAAAGATTTTGAGAGAGAGCAAGAGCAGGAGCGGGGATGGGGGCCGTGGGGATACAGAAGGAGAGGGAGAAGCAGACTCCAGGCTGAGTGGGGAGCCCGATGTGGGACTTGATTCCAGGACTCTGAGATCATGACCTGAGCCGAAGGCAGATGCTTAACTGACTGAGCCACCCAGAAGCCCCTGCGGATTTATTATTTAGTGTTTTTTATCACAGATGCTAAATTGGTAAATTCTACTTCTCCCCTTTTTTAGATTCACTGTTCAGGTTCAAGTCTTCCTTATCTAGCCCAGGCTGTCTAATTGAATTTTCTGTGATGATGGAAATACCTGCCTAGTACAATAGCCACTAACCATTTGTAGCTACAGAACACCTGAAATACGGCTAATGTAACTCAGGAACTGAATTTTTAATTGTTAATTAAATAGCCAATGTGGCTTGTGGCTGCCATATTGGGCAGTGCAGAGCTAGACAGTATTTTTGGGAGAATGTGCTCTGAAGGGAAGAATGATAAGGTGGTATCTAAAGAGGAATTCAGACATCTATAAGTAATACATTATCATTTGAAACTCCTTATGCGTGTTTTATGTAAAATTGTGAAATATACCCTGTTATGGTTCATTATTATGAAAAATAACCTCTTTAATCCCAAATAATAGAATGGGTTTAGTTTATGCATATCCTTTACCACTTTGTATGTTCAGCAAATAGTTACTGATTTGATCCTTTATTCAGGTTTTGAAATAACTAGTGTGTCTGTACTTCATTGTGAATTTTAATGTTAAATTTTTAATAGTTTTCATTTTAGGGTAATTCTGTTGAGTGAAAAGGTAGTTAATTTTTCGAAGACATCTATTTATAAATATGAGAAATGAGATTGAATTGGTCTTGGTTTTTATTTATATGCCTGTATTGCTTATTGTGTGCAAAGTATGTGCTTTGTATACATTACTCTTGATCTTAACAAAGACTGTGGGGTGTAGGTACTTTATTCTCTTCATTTGATAGATCAGAAAACTAAGGTACAAAGAAATTAGGTCTTTACCTACGGCTAGCTACACAGTAGTTGATAGGGTTGGGATTTGAACTCAAGCAGATTTGAGTCTAGTGTGTAGATTCTTCATGATTATGCTGTTCTACTTCCTAAGTCATCGCACTAATTGTTTCTGTTATACTTCCAGTTTTATATAGACCCATATAAACTGCTACCACTGCAGAGGTTTTTACCTCGACCTCCAGGTGAGAAGGGACCTCCAAGAGGTGGTGGCAGGGGAGGTCGAGGAGGAGGAAGAGGCGGAGGTGGCCGAGGTGGTAGAGGTGGTAAGTTACTTTTGGGGGAAATTTTCTAATGAGATTTCAAAGTTGCAGCCAATTCATACAGTATAATTTAATTTTTTATATAGGCAAACCTCCTTTATGCTTATTTATTTTTTTTTAGAAAAGCTATTTTCAAATCTTGGCAGATTGCCATAGTAATAATGCTCAGTTTCAATAACTTATTTAAGAAAAATCTAATAAAATATAATTTTGAGAGATTTTATCTCTTTGGGGTTATTCATGTTTTGTTGAGCATTTTATAAAGTATAAGATTATCTTGACTGAATTTTAGTTTTTTAGTTAATACTACTGGGTGTTGATTATATGCTGTGAGCTGGTCATATTCTTTTAATATTCACTAAAACCTTGTGAGATAGGTGATAGCCTTATTTTAGATGAGGAAATGCGAGGCTTACAAAAGTTAATTTGCCCTAATCAAACAATTGGCCGTCTAAAAATAAAATCCCTATCTTCTGATGTCATGTCAAAGACTTCCCCAAAAATTCATTGCTTTGATTTCAGTATTTTGGTATATGTATTTCCTTGGAGTTTTGGTACATTGATCATTATGAACAGGGTTGGGAATAAGGTGCGGTGTAGTGTAGAGTATACCTAGATCTGTGAGTAGTGGTATGGTGGGTGGGTGACAGGATGATGGCAGAGCCTAAGTGGTTAGGAAGGGGAGCCGAAAATTGGTTGGATATCTTCTGTTCCTGAAGCAGAAAGGAGAGAGAACTCTGTTTTCACCTTTGCCTTTCTCAATTTAATTATTTCATTCTAAATATGCTTTTTTGGGTCCAGATAGCTAGGAGATAATCTCTTTAAGAAATCTGAATATATGTGTATTAAATATTTTGAGAATCTAATGATTCATTCCCATTCTATATTCAGTCTCATCTATAACACTGAAAAAAATTCACTCCCCCTAGCTGCTACCCTTGGTTCTTAGGATAAAATGCCTTAGTTCAATCAAAAAAGTAAGCAAAAGTTGAGGTACTCCTACACTTAACAGTAGGGCTAAATGGAACTTTAACAAGCTTTTGTAATTCATTAAAACAGAATACTTGTTTAAAAAGTTGTAATGTAGGGTGTTAGGCTTATCAGAATAGCATAGGCTACAGTAGTTTTATAAACATTTCCTTTATTTTTAGGTGGTTTCAGAGGTGGAAGAGGAGGTGGAGGTGGAGGCTTCAGAGGAGGAAGGGGTGGTGGTGGTTTCAGAGGTGAGTGTGAAAAAAAAAATCTTTGAATCACTGAATTTCTGAATTGGTATTATCTACTATTGTAAATTTTTATTCAGTCTTATTTTGGTTTCCCAAGTATATAGAACATCATTGCTTTAGCCTAATTTATAGCTTTATTTTTATATCACTTTCTTACTTTCCCCTTTGAATTTTTTCACCTACTTCTAATTTGTTTTGCTGTATTAATTTGAAAAATTAAAAGGTGTGTAATATGAATGACAGTTAAATTTGGTAAATTGGTTGTCTAACCAGTATAAGAAGAGATTTTAAACTTGCGGTTTCGGGTATAGTGTTATTAAAAATTTATTTTCTATAGCCTTAATACTTTCATTTTCTCTTAATCAGGGAGAGGACATTAAGTGTAACAGTTGACAGAGAAACTTCCTGCATGATCTACTTCTGTGGATAAGAAACTTGTTTCTTGAGCAAGTCTCGAAGAACTGGTCATTTTCTGACAGTGGGACTGGGACTAAAATGACAACGCCATGCAAAAATGAGTGCAACAGAATAGGCAATTTTGCTCTAAAAGAGTATGAGCAAATGTTTTAATGTTTTGTACAATGCTTGGAACTTTGTGGGTGCTTAATAAATGGGCAGTTTTCATTTGAAGCATACTTGGAATTTTTAAAATAAAATGTTTTATTTCTTTAAGTTATAACAGAGCAGCTGTGTTTATTAAAACAGAGCTATTTTTTAAGTTAAAAGGAATAACTAAGCTTAAACTCAGTGGATTTCAGGTAGGAAAAATGATTTGTTTGCATATATAACTGATCTTTAAAAAAGTAGGTTAGGGGAACAGTACTTTAACGTTATTTATAAATTAACACCCCCTTTCAAAATCTTTGCCTTTTGTATATGAAAACATCAGCACCTTTTATTTCATTTCACTTGTGTACATTAAGAGTTACTAAAGCAGTTTTTTTAATTTCAATTAATAATTGATTAGCAAATTTTAGTGTTGATTATGAACCTATTAAAGTTGGAACAGCTCTGTTCATGTGAGAATTGAAGTTCAAGTAATTTCTGGAGAAATGTTCAATTCTCATTCAACAATCTTAGATGGGATCTTGAAAGTTTTACTGAATGTTTTTATTTTACTTTTTTAAAAGAAACTCTAAAGGTTTAAGATGTTATTTGTCATAAGAAAAGATGTTATTCATTATAAATAAATATTTGTTCAGATTCCTGGGTAGGGACATTACAAATGAAATTGATTTTTGATCCCTACTGCTAGTGTAGTATCAAGAAGTAACTATGATAGCAAGTTAGAATACTGTGATAATGGGACCATTTCCCTGCCATTGATTCCCCCCCAACACATGTGTTCGTTCTCAGAAAGAATGATGTTTCCATCTTTCCTTATATTTTCTAGCATGCTGTACCTAATATTAATACTTGGTTAACTCTGGACTGCTTGTTTGAGTAGCATATAGTATTGTCTATGTCAGTAATTTGGTTTTTACTTACCTTTTTTGATTAATGGAATTGCAGCAGAATTAATAAATATGTAGGCCATAAATATATCTGATGAACAAATACGCTGAAAATTACTTTTTCAGAAAATTACTTTTGGAATCTGATGAGATTCACTTTCCTAATATAGATACTCTTTGGAGTATTAACTTTATAAAGTTTTGAGTACTGGTAGCTATAAGATCTGGGACAGATCAACCTGGCTCAACTTCATTTTATTTTTTAATTCTTTTATTTTTATTTTTTTTTTAAAGATTTTATTTATTTGACAGAGACAGAGATAGCGAGAGCAGGAACACAAGCAGCGGGAGTGGGAGAGGTAGAGCAGGCTTCCTGCCGAGGAGGGAGCCCAATGTGGGGCTCGATCCCAGGATCCTGGGATCATGACCTGAGCCGAAGGCAGACGCTTAACTAAGACTGAGCCACCCAGGCGCCCCTATTTTTTAATTCTTTTAAAAAAATATTTTATTTATTTGAGAGAGAGAGCACAAGAGAACACGAGTGGTGGTGGCGGGCAGAGGGAGAGGGAGAAGTAGACTCCCCATTGAGCAGGGAGCCTGAAGACCCAGATCTCTAACCCAGGACCCTGGGACCATGACCTGAACTGAAGGCAGACACTTACCCAACTGAGCCACCCAGGCGCCCCTCAACTTCATTTTATACATAGCTGGAAGAATTGAGGCAAAGGATTATCTTGGGTCTTTCCTGCTGTGCCATTTTAGGAGTTATAAAATTAAGTGGGTAAATATAGCCCCCTAGTGGTTCTGTTCCATGTTTACACTGTTAGCTGGTGCATCTAGCATTTCTCTGAAGTTACTGATTTTGAAAAATTAACTTGAAAAGAATCAGATTTTAGTAATAATACATGACAAAGAAAATGGGGGGGAGAAGTGGTAGGGATATCATATTCTAACAATTTTCATGCTAGATTATAACCCATTTGTATAACTACTTTTTGGGTTATTACAAGGTGGTCCAGAATATTAGAATTGCTCTGTACCTTACAAGATGAATGACTGAATCCAGATTCTTTGCTGAGATATGCTCTGATTGTTATTATCTGATAATTACTTGTGCATATCAAAGCATAGGGTAAATTAAGTAAGGTGGGCTGTGAAGTAGATCATATATATCCATGCCATGAAATAAAAGCTATTAATAAGTTAGACTTAGGTTTATTGGCCTGGAATTTATGATATGACTTTAGGAGAAAACAAGGTAACAGAATGATTTTATATATGCATATCTCCCCATTTTTGCTTAAAAGAAAAAAGAAAGTGGGAGAAACCTCAAATCCTAGTATGAATATATGTTTGTATAAGCAAAGAAAAACAGAGAAGATACACACCAAAAAATATTACTACCTTTAAGGAAGTGAGACTTGGAAGGATGGAAGGAGATTACTTCTCTGTTTATGTCTGATTATTCAAATTGTTATGGAAAAAGAAACAAATGGAAAAACTTGAAAGGCTCAGCAGAAAGCAGGGACCTTAATCTGAAAAGTTTTAGGAGACCAAGTCTTGTTCTTAATTTCAGAACTGATTTCCAGCAGCAGTCAGTTAAGTCAGCTCCTGCTGATTTTGAGTTTGCTTATTGTTTGAATGGGAGGTGTGTACTTGATAATCTCCTTAGATACAAGACTGATGACCCAATTGTTTAAAATGTGTGGTGCTTGGTATTTCTCTTTATTTTGCTAATAAGCTTTTTCCTTGTTCTGGGAATTAAAATCCTTTCCTCTCCAGCCCAATTAAGTTTGTTAAGGGAGGGCCTCTATGAAAATGCCCTTCTTTGAGGTCTGTAAGTGGAAATGATTGGTTCTGAAAATTCTTTCTTCATTGGTTCTTAAAATATTTCATAATTATTGAAGGCTCATTATGAAGGCTGTCTCAATTTCTTTCCTCCAAAATGCTAAGGAATAATTTAGACAACAGTACAGACTCTAAAAATGAAGATGGCTCTGTCTTTTCACAGACTGAACACAATGTTGTTGCAGCTTACTTGATCACAGCAGGTATGGATGTTTACTCCATTAACCATTATTTTGTTTCCGAATGGGTGAAGAAAAGCAGAGGTTTTCAGCATAAGGTTGTAGAAAAAGCATGGATTCAGAGATGTTTCAAGTTCCATGTTGTTGGCCAACAAGTCACTTATCCTTTCTGAGTTGGGGTGCGCATGTAACAAATAGGAATAATAATACTTGCCCTATTTCTTGGCTGTATAGTAAGAGAATGTAGGTGAAAGGATAATGAAGGCATTGTTAATGGTGGTTAATGCCACAAGTTATTTTGAATCTTGATAAACAATGTAACAGTAGTGAAGTGGGGCTAAGAAAAGTTTTATATAAAATGAATAATTCTTTTATAATCATCCATATATTTGGTTATTACATTGTCAAGTTTTTATTGGGGAAGAGCGTGTACCATGGCAAAAATGTATTTTTATGTCCTTTACTGCTCTCATACATACTGTTCATAGTCTTATCTTTGGTGGTGGAATCTAGTTAAGATGGAAAGGCCTTAAAAAGAAAATTAAAGTTGTAAAAAGAGCAGACTATTGTCACTGAGGACAGAATTTGAAAATTCAGCTCATTCCCAGAATATGCTGTATTGGAAAACTCTTGAGCTTTGGATTTCATCTTTTAGTATCTTATCTTTGCAACAGTAAGCAAGTTCCTTCAGCTTTTTGTTCTTCCATTTTCTTATCTGAAAACAGGATAAGAATAAGATAACTGTCATGATTGTTGAGAAGAGTAATATTAAATGACCTAAATGACACATACAGTAGGTATTGGACACATATACTTGTTTCTTTCTCCCCATGTGTACACACTCATTGATGTATACTGGATTAAGATAAAGGCATGTTTATTGGAAAAAAGGGATGGGGGAAATAAAATAGAAGTTGTCTAATTATCTTTTTAATGTATAGGTTGAATTGTATAAATTTTATATTGAGTCACTTCATTTCCAATTTTATACTCATTAATGAGTTTTAGAAGTAACTTAGTTATATTGGTTTATTGTAATTTTTTGGATTGACTTATGAAATTCTCAAATATATTCAAAAGTGGAGGGGAAAGTATCACAAATCCTACTATACCCGGTATAGTCTTTATAGTTGCTTAGTTTCCCTATAATTCATAATTACTTCTGTGCTAGAAATTGTGATTCTTCAGTTAATTTTTGTAAATTCAACTTGTTCACTTGACTACCTCTGTATGATAAGTACTAGACAAGTTCTATTTTCTTTTTGATTTTTGTTGTTGCAACAGTATGAAAAAACAATATGCTAATTAAAGAGAAAGTCTTATTACAACTACACAGAAATACTTTGTATACAAACTTTTAGTTTAGTTAGTTTTTTGTAGATGACCAAGTAAAGCTGTCTTGTTTGATCTGTTTACAACAGTAGCACGCAAAGAAAATTTCTTCTTAAGGAATTGTTCTCTCTGGTTCTTATGCCTGTAGCAGAAACAATAATTGGAATTTTACTACTACTACTATGACGATGATCATCACTACCACCACCACTACCACTGCTACTGTTATTTGAATATTTGCACTGTTCTAAATACTTACACATACAGAATAATTCATCCTCACACAAAGTCAGTAAGTGAATTAGTTTTATCTTCCCTGTTTATATAGACGAAGAGTTTAAGTAACTTACCTAACACACACATCTACTAAGTAGCTATGCTGAACTGAAGGCATTTTGATTCTAGAGCCCTCATTTAACCTCAATGGTCAGTTTTATTAAGGAATACCTTGGGCATGTGTTATTTATGGTTTTGGTAGATAAACTGAAGGGAGCATATCTAACCTCTTTATGCTTCTGTTGAAAGATTTATTGTTCTTTAGGTCCCCTAGTTTTCCCCTTTTAACAAAACCCACTTATATTTCCAAATCAAAACCAAAGCTATGAGAAGAAGAATTTAGTTAAAGCATTTGTTTCATTTGTTACTTTTATCAAGAGTTTATTAGATTTTTTGTTTAAATTTTAATTTTCAATTTAATATTTCTTTTAGATTTTAGCTCTTACAAACTTTCACCAGCTTGAGCACTCTCCCTTTCTCCAGGTAAGGCTGGGAGGCAACAGGACATGGTAAATTGAGGATCTGAAATCATTCATTATGGATGAATTGTAAATTGAAGGGTAAGAGATACTAGGCTGCAGAGGAGGCTATGTACCAAGTAATGAAGAATCACCTAAGTCATAAAGGCGATGAGGAGTCACTGAAGGACATGATTCCATTTGCATTTTAGAAATATGCTATCGGGGGCGCCTGGGTGGCTCAGTCGGTTGGGTGACTGCCTTCGGCTCGGGTCATGATCTCAGGGTCCTGGGATTGAGCCCCGCATCGGGTTCCCTGCTCAGCAGGAAGCCTGCTTCTCCCTCTCCCACTCCCCCTGCTTGTGTTCCCTCTCTGTCAAATAAATAAAATCTTTAAAAAAAAAAAAAGAGAGAAATATGCTATCGTAGTAGCTAAGAGACCACATAGGAGGCCCCTGTGTGATTAGGAAGGATCCTGAGGAGGGAGAAGTGGCAATCGAGATAGAAGTAGATACATTCAAGAGCCAGAAGTTAGAATTGATGGTTGGATGTGGCAATTGAGGGAGAAGGGAAAGGAGTGTCAAAGATGACAAGTTTTCTGTTTGGGGGCTCTTGTGGTTAGATGGTGAAGCTATTCACCAAGATAGGAATACATGTGGGGAAGAACAGGTTTGAAGAAGGAACTCACACTGAATCTCTTGGTTCAATGTGAGAGATATCCAGTAAAAAGCTGGACACGTGGGTTTGAATTTTATGAGATCAATCTGGAAAGAAGCAGCACATAGCCTCAGATATGTATGAAATCACAGATTATGTGGTCAATGGGAAAAGAAGGGGGTTCTAAGAAGCTTGGATGAGGCACATCTTTAATAAGGTAGAGATGGAGAAAGGCAGGCCAGGGTGTAGATTAAGTAGGATCTGCCAAGAGATTGTAAGAAAGCCACAGAAGTCAAGAGGAAATTAATTTAGACCTAACTATTAAATGATCTATTGTCTACTCATTAGAAAATACCTGCAGTTAGGAAAACAGAACAGAGAGCTTGAGATAGCTGCTGAACGAATAGAGAAAAAGGCCAAATTGTTTACCTCATACCCTCCATTATATCCAAGACCTCCCCCGAAGTACAGTTACTTTATTCTGGTTGTGTACTTGGTAGGCAACAACTTACTGTACTATGTTTTATCTGACTTTCAAAATCGTCAATTAGTAGTTAGCTTAGGAAGATTCTTCAATTCATTAAGCTTTTTGGAGTATTTCTTGTATGTATGCTACAATACTTGATGCTAAAATTAGAGCCAAAGAGGGGCACCTGGCTAGCTCAGTTGGTAGAGCATATGACTCTTGATCTCGGGTTTGTGAGTTCTAGCCCCATGTTGGATGTAGAGATTACTTAAAAACAAAATCTTAAGAAAAAATAAAAAGTTAAAAATAGAGCCAAAGAATCACCAAATTTGCTATCATTGTGCCTTACTTATGTCTTGCAGGAATAATAGAAATTAATACGAGTTTTAGTTGTGCTCTGTTTATTAAACAAATCTGCTATATGCCACATACTTATAGAACACAGAAGTCATTAGGAACCTGAAATCTAGATGAGAAGACTAGGAATATCTAAAAGTTAAATATAGCATCACATAAGATGAATAATGTGTAATATAAGCAAGTGCTTTGGGAATTTAGAGAAGGGAGAATTACTGTGGGTAGGGGAAGGCTCTAGAGCAGAGCTGGGCTTGAATAGAACTTTGAAGGATGGTTAGCATTTGTATAGGTACTGGAAAAAAATAGGGTGTTCCAAGTGGGAGAGGCTTTACAACAAGCCTCATGTGTTTGATAAATAATTAGAATGGATGGCTTGTTTGGCAAGTGTGGAAATTTGCTTAGAGAGGTGAAAACAGATTGAGGCAAAACCTGGATATCAGGTTGGGATGTGTGGGCTTTTATCCCACAGCCAATGGAGAGTATTGGAGCTCTGAGAAGAAACATGGCTAATTCTATGTTGTAGCCAGCTTATTCTGCCAACAGCACAGAGGGGAAAGAATAGGATCTGGAGGATTAGTGTCACAGGATGCTAAAAGGAAGTTTTACTGAGGTGCCAAGATATAATGGAAGTTCTTCCTCAGCTGATACTTTTGTGTGTTGGTGCTTGGAAACCTTCCCTCTACAATTGTTGGGGGCTGCTCACACCCCCACTGTTAGGACCTAATATGACCCACATCTGGCTTATAGGAAATGTATGCATCCTTTGCAGGATGTAGAGGTTGTTAATTGGGCTAACATGAGTGTCTGGTTCATTCAACAATACCACTCATTGTATATTAATACACTGCCATTCTGATTATGAAGTTCAGTCATCTATCTACCTGAATTCAGTCCATTCCAGGGCATTGACAACAGTGAGTTTCTGGAACCCCAAGGCTAACAGATCCCAGACTGTGGAACCTTGACTAGGGAGGTATCACCTGTGAGGCCTCTCAATGTACGTAAAAGCCAGCCCAATTCCCTTTCTGAAAAGTCAAACCTTGCAGTGTGCTTTCTGCAGGGGAGTGTTCATGTGTGCACGTTGGACGAGGTACTCAGATTTGGACATGGTGAGTTTCCAGAAATACTGGAACAGTCATGATCTTACACATGGTAGATCCCTAGTAAATGTTTAATGGCAATGAGCTGAATGCAAAGGGATATGGAACTGGAGCATGGGTCAGGGCTGGAAAGTGACAGAAGAGCTGTTAAGGTAGAATGACAGTTGAGGCTTGAGAAAGCAAACTATAGAGAAAGAAAAGCCTCAGGCCTCAGGAAGGAGGGGGAGGAAGACTGCCAAAAGAGATGGTATGGTCATACATATATCTTAAAAATCAGCAGAGGTGGTCTCATGGAAGACGGGAGGAATTTCAAGGGCAGTATGATTAACAGGGAGGACATTAAAACCAGCCTGCAGTGCTCTGTATGCAATTGGTAGATTCTTTGTTTAAATTTTCTTATTTCTATTTCACAGAAGGGCTGGGAAGGTATTACAACCAGTTTTAAGAACAGTTGGAGCTCCTAACATAAATGAACTAAAATGGATTTGCTGTTTTTGAAGGGGCTTAAATCTTTAATCTGGATACTACTTTTATTTTTATTTTATTTTATTTATTTATTTTTTAAAGATTTTATTTATTTATTTGAGAGAGAATGAGAGAGAGCAAGCACATGAGAGGGGAGGGGGTCAGAGGGAGAAGCAGACTCCCTGCCGAGCAGGGAGCCCGATGCGGGACTCGATCCAGGGACTCCAGGATCATGACCTGAGCCGAAGGCAGTCGCTTAACCAACTGAGCCACCCAGGCGCCCTGGATACTACTTTTAAACATTCAAATTAAACAAAGTGGTTTTGTGTGTGTGTGTGTGTGTTTTCTTTTGTCTGTGTTCTCAGGTATAATAAGTATTTTCAGCAACCTAATAGTTCTGGGCATCTTCATTAAGTACAAGGAACTTCGGACACCCACAAATGCAATTATCATTAACCTGGCTGTTACTGATATAGGGGTCAGTAGCATTGGATATCCCATGTCTGCAGCTTCAGATCTGTATGGAAGCTGGAAATTTGGATACGCAGGATGCCAGGTATTGGAGATCTTTGGAATGAAAGCAAAATAAAATATTAAAGAGATGTAAATTTAAATGTCTAAAAAAAGAAATCCCAAGGTATTCAAATAAGATCATGTAGGATAATAGGTAAAGTGCTGAAAATAGTTTCAGAAGTGACTGCGAAATGTATTACTTAATAAAAGAGAAATGACATTGGTAGTATTCATTATATTTTCAAAATTCCCCTAATCCAAAGGAAAAAACCAAAAAATTAGCATTCAACTAGAGAAGAAAGAAGTAAAAATTTGCATATTCAAAACTTGCATATTGCAAATTCAAAAAGAAATATCCTGTTTTCATTGGAAATAATAAACTTTAATGATAATATCATAATATCTAAGTAATGTAGTTAAACTACCAGATTTTTTCCCCCTATGGACAGTCCTCCAATGGACTTGCAATTAAGTATATCCATTATTATTTTTACTGACAAGGAAATATATTAATATTAATTCATATTAGGATAGTAGGCAGATACGACTTTTGGCTTGAGGTTTTAAAACAGTTTACTATTTTAAGCTATAAAATTATAGAGAATAAAATGAGTAATAGAATAATGAATACTCATGTATGTCTCACCTGGTTTTGTCAAATCTTAATGTTTTTCAGTATGTGCCTCAGGTTGTTTTGCTTTTTAAAGATAAAAAAACTTGAGGGGCACCTGCGTGGGTCAGTCAGTTAAGGGACCTACTCTTGGTTTCCGCTCAGGTCATGATCTCAGGGTCGTGAGATTGAGCCCTGTGTTGGCTCCGTGTGCTCAGTGAGGAGTTAGCTTGAAAGTCCTCCCCCTCCTGCTCGCTTGTGCATGTGCTGTCTCAAATAAATAAATAAAATCTTAAAAAAGAATTAAGATCTAAAACTTGAAAAATACTGTTGAAGGCCATTGTATACTATCCCAATCTTACTCCCTTCTCTACCATGAATGTTTTTCTATCTTAATACATATTTACCTGCACATAAACTGTATATTTTAAACTCTGTATAAATAACATATTGTTTACATGATGCAATCTTATTATATGATACTATGAAGTTTATCCATGTTGATGGATGTAGCTATAAGTCACTCATTTTAACTGCTACATGATACTCCATTTTGTGAACATACCCCAATGTATTTATTTTTCTGTTATTAAGCATTTATTCCCATTTTTTTTCGGTCACAAAAAAAGGCTTCAATAAGCATTCGTATGTCTCCTACAATATGTAAGAGTTTCTTTAAACATATTGCCTAGGAGAAGGATGGTTGGGTTGTAGAGAATATTCATCTTCAATTCCATCAGATGTGGCCAAATTGCTTTCCAAAATGGGTATGCCAATTATGAAAACATCTATTATTCCACATTCTCTCCAATGCTTGGGATTATCAGACTTTTAATTTTTTTTTATCATTTTGATGGGTGTAAAATGGTATCTTAATGATTTACACTTCTTTGAATACGTATTGTGGTTTACATCTTATAAACATTCAGGTTTCCTCCTGTGTGAATAGCCCATTTTCCTGTTTGTCTTTTTCTCTTGTTGAATTCTCTAGCTTGTGAACACTAGTATTTTGTTTGTTATATGCACTGCACCTAATTTATGGTTTGTTTTGCACTCTGTTTATAGAGTATGTTGTATAGAAGTTTTACTTTAAGTCTTAAAACTTTTAAAGGGTTTATTTTAAAGACCTAAAACACTTTCCACACATGCCTTTAATAAGCCAGTTACAACATGACAATGGAAAATGTATTCTAAAATTATTAAAACAAAAAACATTCAATGTCCTTAAGATGTATTCTAGCCATGGAATAAAAATTTTAAGTGTCTCTTGGGAGGGTGTGTAGAATGGTGTTTTCTTTCCAATTTTGATTTTTAGATTTATGCCGGACTGAATATCTTTTTTGGAATGGCAAGTATTGGATTACTCACTGTTGTGGCCATGGATCGATACCTGACCATCTGTAGTCCGGACATAGGTATAGCACTTCTCTCAGCTTTCTCAATGAATCTGTTTCTTGCCTAAGTACCACTCAACACACATGCACTTTAAAATATAAATGTAATGATTGGGGCGCCCGGGTGGCTCAGTCGGGTAAGCATCTGCCTTCGGCTCAGATCATGATCCCAGAGTCCTGGGATCAAGTCCCGCATCCGCCTCCCTGCTCAGCGGAGAGTCTGCATCTCCCTCTGCCCCTCCCCCTGCTCATGCTCTTTCTCTCTCTCTCTCTCTCAGAAATAAATAAATAAAATCTTTTTAAAAAAATAAAACATAAATGTAATGAGTTGCATTAAGACTGTATGGTCAGTCTCATTTCTCTGACAATCCTTGTCCAAAAGTTTCAGTGATTTCCTATGATTTTAGAATAAAATCCAAATTTCACAGCACAACCTCCAAGGCTCCATGTGGTCGGGCCCTTGGCTATCTTTCCAGCTTTGGCTGGGGCCCTCTCACTTTGGGGTACTGGCCTAGGCCTTTCCCACTTCGGGATCTTTGTAAATGCTGTTTCTGTAGGCCTGGAGAGTGCTTCTCCCTGCTTGTCCTCTAGTTGATCCTTTTTATCATTCAGGTACAGGCTTAAATGCCTTTTTTTTTTTCCTGAATATGAATTCATGTAGATAGGCTCTGAGTGAACTAAAGTGCTTTGTAAAGAACCTACTTGACAACAACTTTGAATAATCAGTTAAAACAAAGTGAAGAAATGAATTCCATCAATGGCAAATGATGCTAATATCTCATCTGTTTGTTAACAGGAAGAAGAATGACCAGCAACACTTATATCCGCATGATTCTGGGGGCCTGGCTCAATGGTCTCTTTTGGGCTTTGATGCCTATCATAGGGTGGGCTAGTTATGCCCCAGATCCTACTGGGGCTACTTGTACCATAAACTGGCGGAAAAATGATGCGTAAGAGACACATTTTCACTTTACAGTAATCAAATGCTTCTAATGTAGACATTCTCTCATCATTTCAAATTTAAGCTCAGATCAGATGTTTTGCACACAGTGTGGCCAAGTGCTTCCTGTGTAGTGATGATGTGATTCCAGCACTGCATTATGCTCGTTTGCAAGTGAAGACCATCAGGCTCCCTTGTTCCCTTACCCTCTTCCGTCTTCTCTCTCCTGAGCACCCATTCAGTGCTGGTATCTCAGGGGTAGAATCTGAAAGGGAAGACGGGGCATTAGTATCGCCAGATAACATGTGGCTGTCCCGAAAGCCGAAAGCTCCGGCTGACTCCCTCCTATCTTTTCAGGATGATCTGGTGATAAAGCTGAAATGACACAGCAAAGGCACAGTCACCGGAAGGACTTGCTTGCTCCTTAGTGGTGCTCTTCTGTAGTTACCAGGGAAAAGAGGGTAACTCAGTTTGTTAAAGAAAATGAAAGATGACTCAGAAAAACTGGTAGAAAATTTCTAACTCTCAAACTAAATCTAAATCTTAAACTTTTTGTAAAGGGTCAACAAGAAAATATCTTAGGCTTTACAGACAAGACTGTCTCTGTTATAATTGTTCAACCCTGCCTGTGAAAGCAGCCATAGACAGTATGTAAATGAATGTAGTTCCAAGGAAGTTCAATTTACAAAGACAGACGACAGACTGGGTGTGGCCCATAGGCCATAGGTTTGCCACCCTCTAGTCTAAATGAACTAGTTAAATATCCTTCCTAAGCTACGTCATAATATAGTGACTATTGAACAGTGCCAGGATTATTTTTAATTATTGTCCTGTTTCCTTTCCCCTATTCAGCACATTAAACAAATAGTGATATAATGATTCCCTTTTCTTATTTTCAGATCTTTTGTTTCTTTCACGATGACAGTTATTGCGGTAAATTTTATTGTGCCCTTGACAGTGATGTTTTACTGCTATTACCATGTCACTCGATCCATTAAATGTCATATCACTAGTAACTGCACTGAGTACCTCAACAGAGACTGGTCAGATCAGGTAGATGTAACCAAGGTAAGACATTAAAATCCTTAAAATGTCTTTGTAATGGAGTTTTTACACATATGTGGTCCATATTACCATCACCTCTCCCCAACACCTGATTTTTACTTTTTGGCTCTTTTTCTTGTGTTTGTCTCCATATTTCTAAATGATGTGTTTATCTGCTGTTTTGGATATTTTTGTTTGCTACTACTCTTGATTTCCTACTATGGATCATGAGAATTTATTTCTCTTACACCATCTGTCCTACTCCTCCACCCCAACCTTTCTCTTTCCTCATCTTGTCAGCATAATGTTAATATTTGGTTACATTATTGTACCTTATTGTAACTACTTAAATTTTGTTTATTGTAGATCTCTGTATGGTTCTGTGATTTGTATTTTTTGATACAATTTTTAATTTTGGGGTTAATCATTCATTTTCTTTTTTTCTCTTCCTCCTCTCAGTCCCCTCTTCTGCTCTTCCTCTATCCTCCCCACCCCCCATAGTTTTGTTTGCTCACTGTTCTGTGTATGGGTCACTAATTCATCTCTAAACTCCCGACCAGAAGCGCCAATCTCCTCTCTATTTTCAAATGCATCAGAGACTACTTGACTTTATCCTTTTCTTGGAACTGTCCTCCCGGCATTCTCACGCATCTTGCTCTACACTGGCCCTTCTCTAAGACCACTGCCGGCATCCTCAGATCTCCTTATCGACAGCTGGGAATGCCTGTGGCCTCTCTCGTGGGTTGGATCGCCTGTTTTCTGGCTTGCATATCTTCCCTTTTTTTTGGTTACTCGCTCTCATTTGGTGGAGCACATTCTCAAATAGATTTCTGAGGAGGTTATAGGGAGATAAATTTTTAAAGATTTTGTTGCCTGAAACTGTCTTAATTCTATGATCATATTTGACTGTTTGCCTTGCATGGAATTTTAAGTAGAACAATGATTTTCGAAGAATTTTGAAGGCATTGCTCTAGAGTCTCCTAGCTTCCGGTGTCGGTATTGTGAAAGCTGGCAGCATTATGGTGACTGACCCTTTGTAGTGTTCTATGTGTTCTCTCTGGAAGCTTGGAGGATCATCTCTGTTTCTCTAATTTCCTGGAATTTCATGCTGATGTGCCTTGAGGGGCCTCTTTATTCACCCATGTTCTGGGTACTTGGTGAGTGCTTTCAATATGAAGACTCAAGTCTTCCCCTTCTGGGAGATTTCTTGTATTATTTCTCTGGTGATTTCCTTCCTATGTTTTGTTTTGCTTTTTTTTCTGGAAGTTTTTTTTTTTTTTTTTTTTAGATATTGAATCTCCTGAATATATCTTCTAATTTTCTTAAATGTTCTCTCCTATATTGTCCCTGTCTTGGACTTTGTTTTTGTTTCTCCTTTCTGCAAGATTTCCTCAACCATGTCCCGGTCTGGGATTGGGTGAGAAAAGTGAGGTTCAAGCCTTGGGTGCAAGATTCAAACAGGCACCAAAAACTCAGCAATTCAAAAAAAAAGTAGTTGATGTAGTATTTTTTAAAAATCAAATTTAATGTCACATCAGAGAGAGAGAGACAAAGGATAAGAGACTCTTAACTCTAGGAAACAAACTGAGGGTTGCTGGAGGGGAGGGGGGTGGGGGGGTGGGGTAACTGGGTGATGGGTATTAAGGTGGGCACTTGATGGAATGAGAACTGGGTGTTATATGCAACTGATGAATCACTAAACTCTACCTCTGAAACTAATAATACACTATATGTTAATTGATTTTAAGTAAAAAAAAATAGTTAAAAAACCCATATTGAACAAAATATACAATTTTAAATAAAGACAGGATCTGACCCTGCACTTGCATGACTCACCTCATTACCCTAATCCTGGCTGACCACATCATTCAACCTTGCCACTGCATTTTTAAAATTCTGCCCTTTATTTTTTAAATAGGGTAAAGGATAAAAATGGTTTTTATAGATAAAAAGAGTTAATTTTACATCCTCTACTCCTTTCCAATAGCCTCCTCTTCTTGTTTTATGGATATATATCTTCTCTCATTTTTGTGATGGTATTATGTACATATTTACATTTTCCTTCTGTTCATCACATATTTTTTGTTTCCCCTGAATTTCTGCACCACTGTTTTTGGCCATCTTTTTAAAAAAATTATTGTTGAAGTATAGTTGGCATACAATGTTATATTAGTTTCAGGTGTACAACATAGTGATTCAGTGATTCTCCACATTACACAATATTCACCACAATAATTGTAGCTACTGTCTGTCATCATACAATGTTATTACAATATTATTGACTGTACTCCCTATGCTGTACTTTTCATCCCTATGACTTTATTTATTTTATAACTGGAAGTTTGTACCACTTAATCCCCTTCACCTACTTTGCCCATCCCCCTATGTTCCTCTCCTCTGGCAACCACCAGTTCTCTGTATTTATGAGTCTATTTCCGTTTTCTGTCTGTTCATTTGTTTTGTTTCTTAGATTCCATATATAAATGAAGGCATATGGTATTTTCTTTCTCTGACTTATTTCATTTAGCATAATACCTTCTAGGTCCATCCATGTTGCTACAAATGGCAAGATTTCATTTTTTATGGCTAAGTAATATTCCAGTGTGTGTGTGTGTGTGTGTGTGTGTGCCATTTTTGTCTCTGCCTGTCAGTTTGTTTCCTCAATGTCTGGTGGTCAATGACTGTCTTCTGCATATTTAAGAGTGATGCACTAAAAAGCTGATTGTAAGCTCTGGGCATCCTTGTTCACTGGGATGTTCCTTTGGGGGAATTTCTGATGCTCTGTATCTCCATGTATTTTCTTTTGGGCTGGTCAATTTTCAAGGAGAAGATTCTTTCATGTTCCTGAGTGGGAAGCACAAGTCTGTTTCCCATACTCTTATGGCTCAGAACAGGGAGGGGACAGCATGCAGCACCCCTCTTTCTAGTATAGTGCTCCAGCTCTCAGTAGCCCAGTGCCCCCTAGTTTCCTGTCTTTTACACTGAACCTCTGGATTCTTCTGGGGAGAGGAAGGGGAGTTGCCTGGCTGAGGGAGGGGGTTCAGAAATCTAATTGCTTCTTTCTGCAGGTTTCAGTGAGTTCTGCTATTTTAAGTTCCATGTGCAGCCCCACATTCAAAGCTAGCTTGTTACCTCCAATTCCAGGGACTTTATGTAGTTCTGTGGAATGGATTAGTCTGTATTTAGTTTTCCCTCACTGCTGGCTCTTTTAAAAAAGTTTTACTTATTTTTAAATTATTCTTGTGTCTGGTAAGTAATTTGCTGCTTGTCCAGTGGTTGTTCAGTTTTAATTTTTACAAAGCTATTGTCTAATCTGTATTCTCAATCCTTATGGGTTTTTATCTTTTTTTTTTTTTTTAAAGATTTTATTTATTTACTTGAGAGAGAGAGAGAAAGAGAATGAGCAGGGTGGAGGGGCAGAGGGAGAGGGAGTAGCAGACCCCCACCCCCTCTGAGCAGGGAGCCCGACGTCTTGGGGGCAATCCCAAGAGCCCCAGATCATGACCTGAGCCAAAGGCAGATGCTTAACCATCTGAGCCACCCAGGCACTCCTGGGTTTTTATCTTTTTAAACCTCTTTCCATCATTTTAGTGGACAATCAATAAGGAACAATGTAAAAGTTATAATTTTTTATTTAAACAAGATGCAAGGGGAACTTCTTTACAAAACTATCTACACTGTACATGTATATCAAGCTCAAATTGTCTGTATTAGAATACAATGAACTCAAAATAGGATTTTGTTTTTTTCCAGATTGAATTTAGAAAGTTATTTTTTTAGATGAGCATATGATGACAGTGCGGGGGGAAAGCACAATGCCAGCAGTCCATAGCACAATTACTGGAAGTGGGTTAGGAGTGGGTTTTCATCTGCCTCTCATCAAAGCCAGCTTTTGTATTCTTCCCTAGCACAGTAAAAGAAAGAGGTCATTCTTTACATTTGTTTACCGTTCTATCCATTTAACAAGCTCTTGTTATCATAGAGGACTTGAGGCACATAAGCAAAGTGCAACGAGGTTTGGAAAAGTTCAGTTTTTCCTCTATGTCATCAACAACATAAACTTACTCAGATTCCGATCTAGATAATTTTTCATGCTATTTTAAATATATTAGCTATTTCAATATTTTAGATACGGGGTTTGCCAAATAGTGATTTTTTTTACAGATGTCTGTGATAATGATACTTATGTTTCTGGTGGCATGGTCCCCTTATTCCATCGTGTGCTTATGGGCTTCTTTTGGTGACCCAAAGAAGATTCCTCCCTCAATGGCCATCATAGCTCCGCTATTTGCAAAATCTTCTACATTCTACAATCCCTGTATTTACGTGGTTGCTAACAGAAAGTAAGTAATGTTTAAAATGCTTTTAAATAAAAAACATGGATATAGAAAGGATGTTAAAAAGATTTTTGGGGAGGTAAGTGACAGAAACTCACTTCAAACTAGTGTAAAAATTATTTGGCTCATGCAACTGGAGAGGCATCTAGGCCTTTAAATGCCTAGAGCTCCAGCTCTGGGACAGCCTCTTCCCATATGGAGGGGAGATGATTACAGCAACCCAAGACCCAAGTTCTACCAGCTAAGCACCCCCAAATTCGAGTGTCATCTCAGATGGCTTTCTGGCAGAAAAGCTACTAGAAGGTGGTTGGTGGGCTCAGCTTAGTTCTCATGGCTACCCCAACACATGGAACTGATTTTCCAAAGAAAAGAGTGGTTCTATTATGAGAAAATGGACAAGGTGAGGAAGGCAATGTTGGGCTCCATAAGTGGGTGGTGTAATTGTATATTTACTAGAAAGAAGATATTCAGGGCGCCTGGGTGGCTCAGATGGTTAAGCGTCTGCCTTCGGCTCAGGTCATGATCCCAGGGTCCTGGGATCAAGTCCCACATCGGGCTCCCTGCTCAGTGGGGAGCCTGCTTCTCCCTCTGCCTCTCTCTCTCTCTGTCTCTTATGAATAAATAAAATCTTTAAAAAAAAAAGAAAGAAAGAAGAAATTCAAATGCAAGAGAAAAACTCAGTGCTAAAATAAAATGGTTTCAGGAGTGGGTAGTCATTCAGGACAATAAAGAATACTTCCTTCTCCCTTTGTTGGAACTCAGCAAAGATTTCTGTCTCCTCAGTGAAGCCTAGATTATTTTACTTCCTGTTACTGCTAAAAGATGGAATAACCAATTTATTGTCCTTAAATATTTGATCAAAAAAAAAATCTCAGTAGAGGCCAGGTAATTTGATCCTGAAATGCAAACGTTTGTATTTATGCACATGTTTGGGAGAGCAGCTTTAGCTACAGGTATACAAAGAAACATAAAAAATTTAAGACCAAACAGATCACATAAGAAGAATAAAGAACGTATTTTAAATTCAGATTCTATAGGTAGTTCTTTTGGAAAGGTTAGTCATTCTCAAGCTCCCTTTAATTTCAACTGGCCTTTGTTCAGAAGAACAAATGTGTGAAATGCATATCCTTAGTTCAAGTAAATTGTAACTGACATTTGAAGTGTCATCTTAAACAGACATAATTTTTGATTTTTATTAAATGTCTTCAATGTTTATAATCAATGGTGCAAAACTGGTCTTTAACTATAACTATACCTTCTGTATTTATGAATGTTCTTAACAGGGGATGTTAAAGTTGGAGGCAAAAGTTTATTTGGAGATGTCAGTTAGCAGTAGAGGTGTCTTAGACATATTCGAAAATGCTTTAAGAGTTCCAAGTCGTTATAGGATAATGCCAGATTTCCCCTTTCTTACTGCAGATTTCGGAAGGCAATGTTTGCCATGTTCAAATGTCAGACTCACCAAGCAATGCCCGTGACGAGTATTTTACCAATGGATGTATCTCAAAATCCACTGACTCCTGGAAGAAACTGAAATAAGAGAAAAAGTACACAGCATCAAAATATCTTATTTACTTTTTTCCCCAGTGGTTTAGTTTTATTTTAAATATGATCCTGTTTAGACCAGATGCAGACATAGATTATTGTTTTATTAGACCCTGAATTCCTCAAGTGTAGCTCCGGGTTCTTCTGTTTGTGGGATGGCTATTCTAATGATTGCTTATTTCCTTCATGTAAACTTAACTATTCATCTCCTTTGATGAATCTAGGCACATGAGATTAAGGCCCATTCTCTTTCTCCCAATCATGGCATTCATTACACTGCATCAATGACCTCGTAACTTGCCTGGACTCTCCATTAGACTAGAAGTAGCCACTATTTTAATGTTAAAATAAATTAATAATGATAATAATAGTCTTCAATAAGTAAATTACTGAAATGAGTTGTTCCTAGGCAGATGGAAAACATTTTTAGCATTTCACACTTTTAAAATTGTAATACAATTATTAACTTCTGCTATTTGACAAAAATATTAAACACTGTTGCTTCTAAATCACATTAGTTGATGCACATACTTTATATAGCAATATAATCTCTGTGCATATCTTATGTATTCTGCATTTTTAATTAACATTTTTCTGTATATGTATTTCCATGTATTTGCCACTAGAATTAATTTAATCAATTTTTTTGTATATTTGTTCTCTTTTTCCTGTTTTGTTTGTCTGAAATTCGTTTTATTCTGGCAAGAACGCAACATGTATCTATCCTCTTAACCAGCTTTTAAGTGTACAGTACAGTATTGGTAACTACGTGTACAGCAGATCTGTAGAACATATTGTCTTGCTTAACTGAAACTTTATGTCCATTGATAGCTGTATGCTTGTTCTTTGATGTATCCTTAGCAGATAGATGCATTTTGCCTGGCACATAGTAGGCACTCAATAAAAAAAAATTGTTGAATGTTGAATGCATTTGTAGACTCAATTATTTGTTGTTTTACATAACCATTGTTTAGATAGTGGACATTTAAAATCTGTGGTATTTTTTTTTAATTGAGCAAATTTTTCTGACTTTATTGTTTCTATATGCATCCTATCAATTTTAAATAACATTTCTCATAATATTCTTATTTTTATAGAATTGACTTTCTTTTGAAAAGATTTTTGGTTTAAATTGTTGATAGAACCACCCAATATAATAACAAGATTAAATTATATATGTGTGTGTGTGTGTTATTGGGCAGGGCCATTCAGGAGGTACCTGATGTGCCCAGATATGTGTGTGTGTGTGTGCGTGTGTCAATTGTCAATTATCCATGAGGATTTTCCATCTTATGTACATGGAGGTAGTTTTTAATGATTGAATTTAATTTTTATTTTCTGATAGAGCCTAATTTTGCTAAAAGACATGACAGTTGATTTTCAGATATGGCTTGATGCCTGTATTGAGAAACTAGTTGAGAATAAAATATATTCTTGAAGATAGATCATGGCCTTCATCACAAACTGCTGGGATAAGCCTTACACTGCTCTGAAGTGACCTGGGAGAGCCAGAGTCTTAGTCCTGCCACTTAGTGGTGGATTGAAGCATTTTGTCTAAAAAATCTAGGTACTAGATTTTTTTACTTTGTTTTTGGAGATCATAAATGCAAAAAATAAAATTTATAATGTTATAAATAATCTGCAGTATTTTCTAGCATCTGCTAAAAGATTGAATTATTTTTAACATTAAGTGTATCTTCAAGACATAGTAGCAATTACATCCACAGAAAAAGGACTTATTTTCTTGCAAATTTGCATATGGGCACCTATTGAAATTTTCTTGACATGTGCTTCATTTTCATTTTCCTTAGAATGTGTTACTTTGCTGAAACCATATTCAAAGGCTAGGTCGATTGATCCCCTGTAAAATACACTTGAAGGTTAAGTAACTACAGATCTCAGCTAATCCCATGTAATCTGCTGTTACTAAATGGCTGTTTGTATTCCTGGCACACCAGTTTCTGAAGCTTAGGATTTGGTTTTTACTTTTTGTTCAAATAACCTCTAGAAAGAGTGATGTGTCTCTCAGCATGTCTGTGCATTGTGCTTATTAGCTTTTTGGAGGGAGTGAGCTGTTTATGTCCTTCACAGTGCACCTGCGATTATCATGGCAGAAATGACGGCACGGGATCAAGGTATGCTCCTCTCTTTGCTACTAAGTGTTCTAATGATTCTAAGGAAAAGAACTCCACCTAGACAGCCTTGTTTTGAAAGCAAATTGTTGGCCAGATATCGGAGGAGAGAAGGTTTAATTTACATAGCTTTAACTCCATTGTTTTAATACCGGTTGCCCACTCCATTGTTTTCATTTTGAGCAGCTTAGCTTTTAAAAGCCCCTCAAATTATTTGAGATTCTCAAACACACTCTGTATTACAAAAATATCCATTGCACTCATATTCACAACATGTCCCTTTCAGGAGGTCAAAACCACTGAAATGAGTGTGGCCAGCTTAGCTTGTTTAGAGAAAGAAAGCCCAGGAGGGAGGGCAGGTCAGGAGGTACTTGACGTGCCCAGATGATTTGCTTCCCTGGTTTTCCATTTCATTTTGAGGGTTATTCATGCCAACTAGATAGATTTTAAAAAGCAGGAAGGAAGATCACAAGGGTGAAATTAGAGAGGTTCATAATTAAGATTTTTCATTTTAAAGTTTTGGAGTTTACAAAGAAAAGAAGTTTGAAAGATGCGGATCAATTCTGTCTGTTGCAGATACTGGGGGGCCTCACAGAAGTTAGTCAACCTCTGGGTTGCTTTAACATCTACCTGTGAATTGAGAATAATTACATACTTATATATATGTGAGTCCTTTGAGATAGAAGTTAAATGCAAAACAGGACTTTTGTTAGCTAAACATGGTAGAACTTGATTTTTTTTTTTTTTTTGGAGAGGATATTTATTTGAGAGGAGAGAGAGCGCGAGAGAGAGCACAGGGTGGGTGGGGGGAGGGCCGGGTGGGGAGAGGGAGAAGCAGGCGCCCCGCTGAGCAGGGAGCCCAATGCGGGACTCAATCCCAGGACCCTGAGATCATGACCGAAGCCCAAGGCAGATGCTTAAGGACTGAGCCACCCAGGTGCCCCTGGAAGAGTGTATTTAATAACAAAATAAGATTATTTTGTGACTTGGCTGAAGTGAACAGTGAGCCTCTTACAGAAAATAATTTGTTTAAAGAATCGCCCAATTTATGTCTTACAACTTTAAACGAGTAAATAATAACACTTAAAACATATTTTTGAGTAATTTGTCTTGTTATTGTATGAACTTTACTTAACCAACTCATGGTATCTTTTTGAGATATTCACTAGGTGGTTTGAGACAAAGAGAACAATGTAACAAAGACCTACTTGGCAAAAGATATGAAGCAGTTAATGACTCAGGGCAGGGTACTTTTGAGAAAAGTCACAGAAATGTTTCTTGGTGATGGCCCCATTATTGATGGATTTTATAAAAACCGTAGTGTATTAGGACTAGCAAGGACTCTAGAAATAATCTAGGTTCGACTGCTGTCATTTTATAGACAAACGCAACCGTACAGACATTAAATGACTTGTCCAAGGTCACAGCACTGAACTGATGCAGGGACTAGTTGATAAGACCTTTCAGTTTCCTATGTAGGCTTTCTTCCATCACACTGGAATGCTGACCTAATGAGTAGAAACCAGATCATTCCTGTATAAAGTAGCAATGGAATTTGTAATACAGAATAGAGATGAAGAATAAGAGGTGTTCCCAGAGAATTTCAATGATTCCATAGAGCCATCTCCTAAAGTTACAGAAAGATGACCCTGTCGTCAGTACACCCCAGCTTTATGCTATCTACCTCTCTTCACATTATACGCTGACTTTTGAAATTCACTGATCTAATGTCATGTGTTTTTACCGAACGGCTGTTTCATTGTTACTATGTACAAGTATAATGTATTTGTGCATCTAATGTATTTATACATTATACAATTTAGGCTATGTTTTGCAAAATTTTTATTGTCTGTTTTCAGCAATCCAGTGGGGGTGAGTATATAATGATAAATAGGTCTTTTTTCAGGCTAAAATGAATCTAAATTCTCTGATTCTTCATCCTTTACACCCACACATGGGACAGGCTTGTTTTTCTATGCCTGTTTTACACGTGCCACTAAACAAGATCACGATGTGACTTATTCAAGGTCACTTCAGTTAGTGAGTGCTAAAAGGAATAAACTCGCAGTTTCTGGTTTATTCCTTAGGCTGAGAGCAATGCGCCAGTCACATTATTAAAATAGAGTTCAACTTTAAGCATCTAGTGTGAACACTTCCTTTTTCTTTCTCCTTCCTCCCTCCCTCCCTCCCTTCCTTTTAAAAATTAAATTACCTTCTTAAAGAGGATCAATTTATAACTTCAACAGGGGATTTTTTTTTAAAAAAATAGGCCATTTCCTAAAGAGGTTAGGAGTGTGTATTTTGGAGTTGGACAGATGTGGGTTTGAAAGGCAGCTGTGTAACCCATTAGCTATGTGACCTTGGGCAGGTACCTTGTGTTGGTGGGCCTCAATTATTTTCTCTGTAAAAATGAGATTGATGATAAAAATAGCAAATAGCCATTAAGTGCCTCTTATGTGCCAGGAAGGTATAAAACTTTATATCCATTTCAATTAATCATCCTAACAGTGCTATATGGGAAACTGAAGTTGAGGGACTGGTGAAGTAAGTGGCTTTTCATGGCCACAGAGAAGTGGCAGAGCTTAGATCTGAACCAAGATCAGCCTGACTCCAGAGCCTGTGCCTTTACCTATTACCCAATATCTACCTTATAGGGCTGTTGATGATCAAATAAGCCAGATGTGGTATGCTACATAGGCCTGACACATAAAGAGCTCCATCTGTATTAGGTTGAACCACCTGAAATTGCTTATATTTGATCATTTTTAACCTACAAAAATGACCATTTCATATGGTTCAATCTAGAAGAAGATGATGATGAATTATGAATAGGCCAGTCAGGCTGAACGAATATTTTGTGAAACCAGTAGGAAATGAAAAAGTGATGCATGTTTCAGGTATTATTTTTTCACATGGGTCTTGGAAAGCAAGTTTCCTTCCGTTGGTCTTGTGACACTAGGTCGGTGCTATGCAATGACCTGGATATGAACGAGGTCCCTACGAACTTACCTGTGGACACTGTGAAGCTACGTCTAGAGAAGACTGTCATCCGCAGGATCCCTGCACAGGCCTTCTACTACCTGGTGGAGCTCCAGTACCTCTGGGTGACTTACAATTCCGTGGCCAGTCTTGATGTCAGCAGCTTTTACAACCTAAAGCAGCTGCGTGAGTTGCGCTTGGATGGAAATTCTCTGGCTGCTTTCCCTTGGGCATCTCTGCTGGACATGCCCCATCTGAGGACCCTGGATTTGCACAACAACAGAATAGCCAGTGTGCCAAATGAGGTGGTCAGGTACCTGAAGAACCTTGCCTACTTGGATTTATCAAGCAACAGACTAACCACACTACCACCAGATTTCCTGGAGAGCTGGTCCCACTTACTTACAACATCATCACGAAGCCTGGACCTTACACCACGAAGAATTATTCTTGGTAAGTTCAGAAGCCTCTGGGCTTCTCGGGTCCAGATAATTTGTTTTGCATGCCTTCAGTTGTCCAGTCTTCTCATATGTATTGAATTTGGCTCCTTGCTCTCTACTTGCACTTTTGTTGGGATGGCACTTTCTTTGCTTGACCTAGGTCAGCTGACCTGTTTACCCTGTGTAAGGTGTAATGGCTGTGTGTGTGTGCTGGAGGAGGGAGAGGAGAGCGCCTCATAAACTGAGAGGCTAATGCTGCTGTTAGCGAGCCTGGGGCTGAGTGATAAAATCTACCAACCTGCCCTGATTCTGAGAGCACAGCAGTGCTCCACGCTCTGCCACAGTCAACCTGCTCTGTTCTCTGTTCAGCCCTTCAGCAGGCTCTTCAGGGGTGGAAGAGGGGCACTGGCATCTTTATGAGGTGGCAGCGGATTTATTAGTTAGGGAGAATAGCTTCCAGATTTTCTTAATCTAAAAAGAAATGATGAAGACAATCTTCTAATGGATTAGTGTAGCTGTGATTTGTTTTGTAGACTTTGATCTTGACTTTGTTTAGGTTCTGTGGGTATTTGTCTTTGGTTCTTAAAGTATAAACTCCTTCCACTAAGTCTCTCTCTTCCTTTTTTTGTATCTTCCCGCAGTGCTTTGCATGGCACTCTGCACATGGCGAATGCCCAGTAAATATGGTTGCAGATTGAAATCAATGAGCTGAGACCCTTCTCAGGGGTACCTGTGGGCAGTGAGGCCTCCCATACTTTTGTGTGAGACATAAGCCTAAGGCTCTCATCAATCAATTCGATCTCCTACTAAATTCTTGTTCACCCAATAAGGCTGTGTTGTCAGTTCACTTGTGATGTCCATCAGGGCCACAGAAGAGGTTGTATTTCACAGGATGAAAAGAACTGAGTGTTTGGCCAGTGAAATGACTTTTAAGCCTTTTGGTGTGAGAAGCAACTCGATGCTAAATTTGTGCCAGGAATCCCTACTGACCAATATCACATGCTCAAATATTTGCTGAAGTGAAGTACAAATAAATAAAGATAACTTGAATTTTTTTTTTGATAAAAAGGAAAATGCTGTGACAGCACTTAAATGATTTTAGCATTGCTTTGGTTGAAATGAAAATGCATTTTGGTGCTTATGAGACTAAAAGTATGAGTGATTAGAACCAAATAGAAAGAGGAAAAATCATGTATTTATTCTATACCTATTTTATGTTTGCCTACTGCTTATCTAGTGCTTCAAACGTTTTTATTAGAGAATAAGAGAAGTATTGTAGGGTGAGTGGAAAAACATTAATTTAACGATAGTTGTGGAGTCCTTCGTATTATGTATACCATAATAGGCACCATGTAAACCTATACGATAGTATTTATTTACTCTATTTTAGCCACTAATTTAGTCCTTAGGACTAATAGCTGGAAATTGTCTTAATGTAAATATTGAGATTCTGTTTCTCTACACATTTTTCTAAGTTTCTTTAGATTTACCAAGAGGAGATATATAGTAGAAAATAAAATCAAATTACCGAATTGCTAATCTGAGATGGGAGTGTCTTATAAAGAAAGACTCCTCTATTTTAGCTTTTTCTGTTATTTTACCTATATCTGAGTCTTCCAATTTCATCATTAAAATATGGTGATGAAAACCAGTACTAGCTTTTCTAGAATTCAGTGTTTAACTGTAGCAATTATATCTTTCCAGGTGCCCTGGAGAATTTACTTTTCTATTATTATAGTGGAATATAGTCTGTTTTATTTGTTAGTGTCTTGTGTTTATTACTGTTAGCAGATGGAAGTTCTGTTTGTAACAACAATAGTAATAGCTAATATTAATGGAGCTCAGGGCCAAACCCAGTTCTTATACTTTATAGATTTAACTTTTTCCGGTCTCATGTTAACCCTGTGGTAAGTACCATTTCATCCCCATTTTATAGAAGAAGAATTGAGATACACGTTAAGCCACGTGTCCAAATGTACCCATCACACAGTGATGCAGCTGGGGTATGAATACAGGTGGTTTGGCTCCACAGCTCTTGCTGTTCCCCATTCCTTTGTCATGCAAGGTATTGTATGTAATAATACCAGAGTTCTCTTCTTCATATATGCATTACTGATCTCTTTAAGTCATGTCTTTATTTAAAAAAAAAATTAGGAAGAGGCTTTTCCATTACTCCTCTTTTCTACATGAGTAAAAATATCAACTTAATAAAATTGTCCTCTAATGTATCATATAAACATAAACTAGTGTCCTGCAAGTAAACATTTAAATGAACTGTGAAACTAGACTGGATTTTTTATTTGCAATACAGGTAAATTTCCATGGCCTCTTCCTCAGGGATACACAAATATTTACACAGGCAGACTCTGTAAGGCCCAATACTCTTTGTCTTGGAAAAAGCATGCAGGAGGAGAGGGCATAAAATGCTTTTTGGGGGGCTTTTTACTGGTACTTGAATTTGCTCAATTGCAAACATGAGTTCTTTTCCTGTTCAGAATAAAGTTTACCTGAAGGGCAGTAGCCACACGAGTATTCCCACAAAATTTTTCTAAAATGGCATTCATTTAATTCAAAAACACTCCTCAATCCCTGTTGATATGCCTGTTCTTTTCAAGGCACAGAGGAGATAAATCCACATAGTTAACTCCTTGCCAGGTGCTCTTTTGGGGACTCCCTGGCAGTATCTCAGCCTTCAGGACAATGCCGTAAATTGGGTCTGTGATTATTACCTGCTTTGTACAGCTGGTGAAGACGCAGAGTCAAGCTTCAAGTTCAGTCCATCTCCAGAGATATCATTCTTTTGTTTTTAAAGCCTTTTCTAAATTGAGGAGTTGAGGTATAATTTGCACACGTGGATCTTAAGTGTACAGCTTAGTAAATGATGATAAATGAAATACCCCCCGAAACCCACACCCTCATTAAGATATGGAATAATTTCATCACACTGGAAAGTTCCCCTGCTCCTCTTCTCAATCAATGTCCTCCATTTCAAGCAACCACTGTTTTTATTTCATTGCAATAGGTTAATTTTGTCTGCCCTAGAATTTTACATAAATGGAATCATGTAAGATGGCCCTTGTGCCTGGCTTCTTTCATTTAGCATTATTGTTTTTGAGGTTCATCCACGTCACTGCATGTATGGGTAGTTCCTTCTGCTGAATCATTTTCAGTTTTATGAATATATGAATTGTTCATCCTTTCTCCTGTTTTTGGACACATGGGCTGTTACCAGTCTTTAGCTGTTATGAATTAAGCTGCTATTAACGTTCTTGTGCAAAGCTTTTTGTAGCACATATTTTCATTTCTCTTGGATAAATTCCTAGTCTTCAAATTGCTAGGTCACAGGATGGCCATATATCTTTTTAAGAAACTGCCCATTTTCCAAAGATGTTGAACCATTGTACACTCTCACAAGTACTATACAACAGTCTACTTGCTCCGTATCCTTACCAACACTTGAGGTTGTCAGATTTTTCTCATTTCAGCCTTTCCTGGGGGTGATGGGTCAGGGAGTGATTTGACATTGTGATTTTAATTTGCATTTCCCTGAAGACTAATGGTGTTGACCATGCTTTCATTGGCTTATTGGTCATTGCTATATTCCTTTATGCCAATATATAACTAAAAAAAATTTTTATTATTATTAAATACAAGCCTTTTGTTAGTTACATGTGTTATTGATATTTTCTCCAAATCTGTGATTTATTCATTTTCTTCATGGTGTCTTTGGAAAGAAAGTTTTAAATTTTATTTTATTTTATTTTTAATCTTTTTTTTTTTTTTTTTTAATTTGACAGAGAGAGACACAGTGAGAGAGGGAACACAAGCAGGGGGAGTGGGAGAGGGAGAAGCAGGCCCCCCGCTGAACAGGGAGCCCGATGCAGGACTCAATATCAGGACCCTGGGATCATGACCTGAGCTGAAGGCAGACACTTAACGACTGAGCCACCCAGGTGCCCTGAAAGTTTTAAATTTTAATGATATCTGATTTATCAGTTCTTTCTTTTATAGTTAGTGCTTTGTGTGTCTCATCTAAGAAGTATTTGCCTGCCTACAAGTCACAGAGATTCTATTTTCCTTATAGTTTTAACTTATATATTCAATTTCTGGCTTTAATATTCTTAACTTTTATGCTTATGACTGTGGTCCATCTCAAAACAGTTTTTGAGTATAGTGTGAGGTAGGGGTTGAGGTTTTTTCCATGCAGATGTCCAGTTGTTCGTTCCCCCACCATTTGTCGAAAAGACCTTACTTTCCCCTGATTTGTTAAATGCCACTGCCACCACAAAACTGACTAAGGCATGGTTTTTGCTTTCAAGAGCTTATAGTCTGCAGAATTACTTTTGAACAGAAATTTATTGCTGACTTTTCACCAAAAAATAGCACATTTAATTCAACTACTGTGATGCATGGAAAACATTATCCTTTTAGAAAAGGAATAAAGCAAAGTTGATTTGCCCCTCTCCAAGAATAGTTAGATGAGCTAAATTTTAGTGCAAATTACTGTGATTGTGGTTGGTATGTTGCCTTGAAGGAATGCAGTACAAATAACAGTTTAACTTCAGGGAGTTTTTGTACCTCTGTCCCCAAAAGGAAAACAAAACAAAACAAAACACTTAATGAATGGGTTCAACACTCAGGTCACTATTATTATTCGGGTTTTAAAAGTTGTGCCTTTGACCTTGATATTTCAAAGCTAGAATAAATATATTTGAGGATTTAAAAATATTTTCCTGTTTTATATAACTTTAAGACAGAGCCAGTTGGATTAATTTTTATTTTTATTATTTATTTTATTTATTATTTTATATATTTTTTCCCAAAGATTTTATTTTATTTGACTTTTTAATTTTATTTTATTTGACAGAGAGAGACACAGTGAGAGAGGGAACACAAGCAGGGGGAGTGGGAGAGGGAGAAGCAGGCTTCCCACGGAGCAGGGAGCCCGAGGTGGGGCTCAATCCCAGGAACCTGGGATCATGACCTGAGCCGAAGGCAGACGCTTAACAACTGAGCCACCCAGGTGCCCTGGATTAATTTTTAAAAGAATTTTGTTGGGGCACCTGGGTGGCTCAGTCAGTTAAGTGTCCGACTCTTGATTTCAGCTCAGGTCATGATATCAGGGTTGTAAGATGGAGCCCCCGCATTGGGCTCCATGCTCGCAGAGAGTCTGCTTGAGATTCTCTCTCTCCCTCTCCCTTGGCCCCTCTCCCTGCTCATGTGCGCACGCGTGCTCTCTTTCTCTCTCAAATAAGTAAATAAATCTTTAAAAAATTTTTATTTCACCATTAACACATGTTTATGATAGTTTCAAAGCATGAATAAAACTATTAATGTTACAGTTCTTGGATCTTTCCCTATGTAGACATTTGTGCTCCAGACATCACGGCTTTGACATGTGTTTATAGATAATAGCACTTAGAGCTGCCACCCATGGCTCTAGATGTTTTTAGGTGACGAAATGAGTTATGGTGGAAGGAATATTAGATTAGGAGGCTGAAACATCTGGGACTTAGTCAGGATTCTAAGCTACTTACAGAATCAAGGCAATAATCTCTTTGTGCTTTAGTGTCCTCTCTGATGTGAAACTCAAAAGAATCATACTAACTTCCTGAGGTCAGGTAAGACAGATAGAGCTTGAGAATGAAAGCTTTAAAATCAGGATACCAAGGTTCAAATCCTGACTATATCCAGTTGTATGACCATAGGCAGATCCCTTAACCTCTCTGAGTATTGGCTTTCTCCTCTTTAAAATGAGGATGGTACTAATGTTATCTACCTCAGCTATTGTCAGGATTGAGGTAGACAAATCCTTTAGCATGCTTAGCACTGTTGGAAGATAATTTTCCAAGGCCTCTCATATTTCTGCAAGTCTTGTGAGCCAGAGGCCGTCACTGACTGTCTTTTGTCCTCAACTATCTTTTTAAGGATGTTTGTGTACAGAACTGCTTTGGAAGGTAAAGGTATGTCTCCCTCCAGAGAAAGGGTAGGCATGTTTACTGCCCAGTATAATGAAGATAATGTCTTCCTCCAGAGCTGTAAACTATCCTCCATCTCTGACCAACTGAGAGGTGTTGGCCATCTAAAGTAGGATAAAACTCAGACCCTTTTACAATTCCTGACAGAGTACAATATTTGCCACACAGGAAGCAATCAATAACTGTCAACTTGTTTTGTTATTATTTTATAAAGCAAAAATCTAGCATAGCAACTGTTTTGAGAGCATAACATTTACCCACATAGTAATTATTACATGACAGAATGAATTTGATGTTTGCTGGCAAGTTGGATATTAGAGACTGGTCATAGATTCATAGGACTAAATGTAAGAGGAAGAAGTTCAAGGTAATTCACCCATAAATGAAATTTCTAAGATAGAAGATAAAAAAAAAAAACAGTGAGTTTTTACCAATACTGGAAGAAAAATATGAACCAATCATCATGAAGTGCTATTATGATAAAAATAGACATAAATATAAACAAAAATAGATGTAAAAAGAATTTACGAATGAACGTTTAAATCTTCCAACATGGTCAGCATTTTAAAAAATTGCAGTTCTGTCTTTTCTCCTTATTAATCAATGTATAATCTACTCTACTGGTAAAAAGCCACAACCACAAACCTTTTTGAGATAAAGCCCCTGCAGCCTTGGGCTTTATGTGAGGCTGCTGTGGGACATCATCACCCTTAACATCCTTAGAGACTTTTGTCTGCCAAGGGCTCTGAAGCACCCTTTGAGATCTTTCTGGGGTCTTAGCAAATAATTTTATAGTTTCACCCTCCCTGGATCTGATTTTTGCTCAGAAGGCCTTTCTTAGTTTGAGAACTTTGGAGAGGCCAGGAGTAAGAAGTAGGTTGTTTTTTTTTTTACTTTTTTTTACTATGTTCAGTTTTATTATTGAACCCAGCAAGTTTCGGCTCCTTTCTCTTTAACGGTTCTTCCTTACCTGCTGTCTGTCCTTTCCCATTTTACCGTGAGCAGCAAGAAGACGCCAGGTAGCACTCTCAGCACTTGGTGTGGAAATATCCTTAGCGAGAACATTCGTTTCATTGAGTGCACTTTATACTTTCCATGTTAACCACAGGTGACAGTGTTTCTCAACTTTCTGCTACTCCATCAAAGGTCTCCTTTCCTCTAGTTTCCAATAGTTACATTTTCCTCACTTTCCTTGAAGGCTCTCACTGACGGTCCCCTTGAAGGCCAATGCACTTCTGCTAACAGTCCGAACGCTGAGGGAGGCAGTCCTCCAATTGGAGGCTGTCAGCTAACTGTATTCCTTGCTGCTGATTCTCCGATGAAGGGGCTTTGAGCAGTGCACCTTCTCGGCCACCACGCATGACATTCATGCCAAGCTCTGTTCCAGCCTCTGCCCATTTCCAGTCTTACCTCCTGACATTGCGTGCTTCTCACTCTATACTTCTGCTACACAGAACTTGTACTACCTTCACAGGTCTTCAAATCACACAAAACCATGACATAGTGTGGGCTGAATTAGGTGCCTCTCTACACCCTCCAATATCTACAATAATATTAGTACTTTCCTAGCACCCTAGAACTATCTCTAGCCCTGTATTTCTAGTGTTCTGTGGTACTTGGATTAAAACCTTGGCTTGGATGCTGATTAAGCTATATGGCCCTGCTCAAATCATTTGATTTCTCTGTACCTCAGCTTCTTCATTTTTAAAATGGGAGTAGTAATCCTCTTCCTCATCTTTTGGGATTAAATGAGACAATACAGATAAGTGCTTAGAACAGAGCCTTGTCCAGAGTAAATGCTCAGTAAATGTTGGCTATGATCACTAATGACCTGACCTGACAGGCTCTGTTCATTCAGGTAGCCAAACTGCAGGGCAAGACTGACAGGGAGGTGATTCCATTTCATCTCTCAAAGCACTTCTGCTTTTTAGGGAGACAGTGCAGACCCCTGCTTGCCCAAGAGGTGTGATGTAAGCGAAAGTCAACAGAATAACCTTTATCAATCTTTTCCTCCCTTCTGGTTTAGGTCTGCAGGACAACCCTTGGTTCTGTGACTGTCACATTTCCAAAATGATCGAGCTGTCAAAAGTTGCGGACCCTGCTGTAGTGCTTCTCGATCCACTGATGGTCTGTAGTGAGCCTGAGCGCCTGACAGGGATTTTGTTTCAGCGGGCTGAGCTGGAGCAGTGTGTGAAGCCGTCTGTTATGACCTCGGCCACCCAGATCACGTCTGCTCTGGGCAGTAATGTTCTGCTGCGGTGTGACGCTTCTGGCTACCCTACCCCACAGCTCACCTGGACCAGATCCGACAGCTCGCCAGTTAATTATACAGGTATTTTCTTTTTTCCTGTCTTTAAAGATTTTATTTATTTATCTGAGAGACAGGCAGAGCACGGGCACGGGGAGGGGCAGAGGGAGAGGCAGACTCCCCGCAGAGCAGGGAGCCCGATGCAGGCTAGATCCCAGGACCCTGAGATCATGGTGTGAGCTGAAGGGAGACGCTTAACCGACTGAGCCACCCAGGCGCCCCCAAAATTGGCTAGTTAATTCTAATAAAATATGCCAAGATTGTTGGGTGAAAGGAATTTGAAAGGTTCGTTTTATTGGTTAATATTTTCCTCAGTATATCTAACTACATAGATGAAATTAGACAATCTGATTTTTTTTTAGATAGAAAACAACATGATCCAGTGGCTGGATGATTGTGAGTAAGGCCCTTTGTCTTGCTGCATCATCTTGGATATGGCTCACTTTAAAATGTGTAACTATTACAGTTTTCTTAGAAAAGATTTTCATACAGGTTTCTCAGTTTTGAATGATCATTTAAATAATAAATTACATGCAAACCTTATCATGAAGCAAAAAGTATAATTTTTAGAAATATTGGTTACATAGACTTTTTAGATCCTACTATGACCAACTCAATGTTTTGGCCTTAGTTTCAATAGTGATATTCTGATGAATTAAAGTGATACGTATTTTAAAAACTCCTTAAAATTAAATGTAAATCAAAGTAAAAATTATGAAACCTGATGGAATAAGAAATAGTTAAGCCCTAATATTCTTATAAGTAGATAGTAAATGGCCCACAGCTTATGGTATTAAGTTAAATTTTGGGATACTAAGATACCACTTAGTACATTATTATTCTACAGAAAGCTTCAGAAATCAAGACAGAATGGTAATATGTTAGGTTTTAGTGTTTAGGAAAGTAAAATTCCAATTTTGCAAAAACTATATATTATTCTACAAATAAAAGAATCCATGTTTTACTAATTTATCTAGATTAAATATAAAATGAAAGACTGAGAATACTAATTATGACTTCTCTATGTCAGAAAATGATCTGCTATGCCATCTGGCTGTGTAGATAGATAGCATTTTATTACAATGAAAAAATATTTGGGGAAATATTTAAGATCTTGTAAAAACCATTTTATGGGACCACAGTGAGTTAAAATTGGAGGGCATCCTTGAGATCACTTTGTCTTATCCCCTTATTTTAAAAGTACAGAAACAGGCCTAAAGATGCTAACTGACTTGTCTGAAATTACAGGTTACTGTGAACAAACGTTTACTAAAACCAAGTCTCCCAATTCATACCCTTGTGTCTTTTTAAAATACCATTCTCCATACAGACCTCATGGTACTTGACATGTCCTAGACTTTCATGTAGACAATTTACAGAACTATTACCTTCTATCAGAGACTGGTGACAGTGTGCCATTTCCCTCTTGGTTTATATGAAAGGGATGCATGTAAAACCAGATCGGTTAGCATGTTGCTTGAGTTTCTTTTTTTCCCTTCACAGAGTATATATATATTTTTTCTTACAGTAATTCAGGAATCTCCAGGGGAAGGAGTCAGATGGTCCATAATAAGCTTGACAGGCATTTCTTACAAGGATGCTGGGGATTACAAATGTAAGGCCAAAAATTTGGCTGGAATGTCAGAAGCTGTGGTTACTCTGACAGTGGTTGGTGTTGTCACGACCACCATATCATCAGATACCTCTGAAAGAACTGGAGATCACCCTGAGGAAGAAGTCCAGCCAGGAGCTAGAGCTACATCCATACCTGGTTCATTGTCATCTCCCTGGCCTTCTTCCTCCCCTGCTTCTTCCATTTTTCTTTCTACTTCTACTTCATTTCCTCCCTCCACTGCTTTCTTCTCCTCATCTCCTTTCCTCTCCTCCATCGTTTCTTCAGCCACAACTCTAAGCACTAGAATTTCAACAAGCCCCACCATGGCCAGCCAGCAGTCACTCCAGCTCCACCCAGATGGGGAAAGAAATTTAAAGGTGGAGATGGGTGGAAGTAAGCTTCCCTCAGCCAGTGCAAGTAAAAAAGAAGAGTTGGCATCAGTGGATCAAGCGACGCCAATGGAAAAGAATGCCACGATAGAAAATCTCAGGGTAGTCGGTGAGACTGAAGAGAGTGTGACTTTGATGTGGAACACCATCAACACCACACATAAGTCTGAGATGACAGTATGGTACTCCAAGTATGGTGAGAAGGACCTGCTGCTGCTGAATTCAGACTCCAGCAAGAGCCAAGTAACCATAGATGGCTTGGAGCCTGGTAGGCAATACACAGCATGTGTCTGTCCGAAAGGAGTGCCTCCCCAGAAAGACCAATGTATTACCTTTTCTACTGACAGAGTTAAAGAAGAAGGTGATTCTCGAGTGTCTTTTCTTGTCGTGGTGAGCGGTGCTGCCTGTGTTGTTGTCTTGCCATTGATTTTTTTCCTGTTGTACAAAGTTTGTAAACTGCAATGTAGGTCAGAATCCTTCTGGGAAGATGATCTGGCAAAAGAAACTTATATCCAATTTGAGACCCTGTCCCCCAGGTCTCAAAGTGTAGGGGAACTTTGGACGCGAAGGCATAGAGATGATTCAGAAAAACTGCTGCTTTGTTCTAGGTCAAGTGTGGAATCTCAGGTGACTTTTAAAAGTGAAGGTTCGAGGCCAGAGTATTATTGCTAAGGTTTTACAGCTTAGGTACATGTGAACTCCACAAAATTTCTTCCACGCAATTAAGGATCTGAGGATGTAGTTGACCCTCTGATTGGATGACTTTTGTTCAGACTTTCACATCCTCTATGAAAATCACAAATGGAGTGCTTTTAATTCTGCTTTAAAAAAATTACCTTGTGAGGGGCACCTGGTTGGCTCAGTCAGTAGAGCCTGCAACTCTTGACCTCGGAGTTGTAAGTTCGAGCCCCATGTTGGGTGGAGAGATTACTTAAAAGCTACCATGCGACTTCTGAACCGAAAAAACAAACAGTCTTGATTTTTGTTGTGCGGAAGATGTCCATAGAAATAATTTTTGGGGTAGTGCTTAATAAGTTAATAGTATGTTTTAGGGTAATGTTTTAGTTCTTAAAAATAAATTGATGTGAGAATTGTTGTAAAAAAGTGAAGTCTGAATTTTAAAAAGATAGTTTTTCTGGGAAGTGAAGAAAGATTAGTATAACCAGCTAAGCCTTGATGTTCATCATGTTTGAAGTGCTTTATGGTATTTGCTGTGGGTATTTATTGCCGTTGCCTAGTGGGCGAAAGTGAGAAAGTACAGAATTTTGCATTCACTAAGGTTAAGTCCAACCCAATGGAGAGGGAGGGCTCTAACTCTTGGTACCATTATGCATTACAAGACTGTAGAGTTGTATTAATATTGTAAGAAAAAATCTTCCTTTATCCTTAGAAATATAGGTATTAACAAAAAGAAGTTTAAAAAGAGGATCATGAAAATAGTAAGGCCAATTCTAAAAATATTAACCATTGCATCCTAATACATTTGCTAATAGACTGTATGGATCTTTAAAAAAAAATAAGTGCTCATTTTGAAACAATCTAATATTGTGATATTTACTCTTCTCTTCCTCTCCTTTTCTCCTTCTCTCCCTCCCTCCCTCCCCCTTCCTTCCTTCATTTCTTTTTTTCCCTTCTGCTTTGTCAGAAGATATTCAGGTAGCCAAAGGACCACAGCTAAGCTGTTTGTCTTTTGCCATGTTATATTTTGATTTCCTGGCTACAGGGAAGAACTTTGAAAGTTTTTTTTAGATCTGAAAAGGATGTTTTAGGATTCTGAAGAGCAGTTTCAATCAATTAACTTGGTCAAATTTTCTAGGTAAAAAACATAAGGGAAATTGAACTGGAGTTGGGCACACAGATAGGAAAGGGGCTTTGTACATAAAATTTAGGGTTTTTTTTTTTTAAAAGTTTATCACCACCTTTACTAAAGATTATATTCTCTTTACACTGGAGACATTGGAGTACAGAATGTATTTATTAAGGTGTGTCAGGAGTCTTGAAATATTCTGAGAAGCAAGTTCTAAGAAAATCCTATATTTTGCATAAGCAATAGATTGGCTTTAATGTAACATACTGTGGATATTATAATACAAGGAGCTGGACAATGAAAAATTGTTCATTCCAAATGGTTCTTAATTAAAAAGGAAAAAGAATTCCAGTTTAGACATACTCTGTATATTAGGAGGAGACCAGCATGGATGGAAGGCCTGTCCAAAATGCCCAAATGTATAATTTCTTTTTTTTTTTTAAAGATTTATTTATTTATTTGAGAGAATGAGAATGAGAGAGAGAGAGAGTACATGAGAGGGGGGAGGGTCAGAGGGAGAAGCAGGCTCCTCGCCGAGCAGAGAGCCCGATGTGGGACTCGATCCAGGGACTCCAGGATCATGACCTGAGCCGAAGGCATTCGCTCAACCAACTGAGCCACCCAGGCGCCCCAAATGTATAATTTCCTCTCCTTTCCTTCTCTTTCCTTTCCAGCCTGTTTGTCCTTGGTGCTTTCATCACTGAGTGCATTGTCTCATCATCTAACAGTTTTAAATTCAGTATGCATTGTTAAGATTTGTTAGAAAAATACCCTTTACAGACAATTTTATGTCTAGCTTCAAATTCTGTCGGGATCAACTTATTTTAAATTAAAAGACTGCAAAAACTTGCATTTTTTTACTCTAAAGACATGATGGAATTCACTGCCATATTTAATATGTTCATACAGACTGCCAAAGTACTACCAGGTTAGAAATAATGACTACTGGAGAATGTTACGGACTACTGAGGCAAGTGGCACCCAGATTGTACAAAGGAGGGTTATCTGTTAAGAAAGGAGACTTGGCCCACCCTGATCAGGTAAATTACTGACTGCCTTCATAACCAAAATCAAGTGAGGCCTGCATTTAATTTTGACCAATGAGGAAAAGCTAGCTGCTGGTGTGGAGGGGAGAAATCATCTCTGTCATCTTCAGCTTCATGGTCTTAGCCCATGAAGTGAATCCTAAGTAATGTGTTACTAATAGTAAAAGAACTAAAATTGTAAATCAGCTACTTTCTAAAAATACATACACTTGAGTGTAGTCAAATGATATCTGATGGTATCATTGCTCCTACGTTCTTACAGGTATGGTTTCCTGAGTGGGAGGAAAAGGTTGACATAGCAAGTAGCATGAAAGTCTACGTAATCAAGAGCCTGTTTCTCAATGTCACTACCAGCATTGTAGAGAGCAATCAGAACTGACATATAGCAAATATATGTGACAATTAAATATGATTACAATGTTTTACTTTCAGACAAGGTATATTTGAGGTTTGTAAAACTTGGGTAAATGGTGAGGGTGTGTCACATGGGAGACTATCATAAATGATGTGCTATGATATAAAAAATGTTGAGAACTCCAAGCTCATGGTTTATGATGGCCACAAAAGAAAACCCTGGACTCTAGAGTCAGACAAGTGTCCTGAACTTTGGGAAAATTTTACAAAAGGTCAAAGACAAAAAAAAAAAATTTTTTTTTTTTGAAGATTTTATTTATTTATTTGACAGAGAGAGAGACAGTGAGAGAGGGAGCACAAGTGGGGGAGTGGCAGAGGGAGAAGCAGGCTTCCCGCTGAGCAGGGAGCCCGATGCGGGGCTCCATCCCAGGCCCCTGGGATCATGACCTGAGCTGAAGGCAGACGCATAACGACTGAGCCACTCGGGCGCCCCAAAGACAAAAAATTTTTGACCCACAGACTTGAGTCTCGAAAAGGGATTATGGCTAACAAAGGGAGATTTTATTTATTTATTTTATTTATTTTATTTATTTAATTTTTTTTTAAAGATTTTATTTATTTATTTGACAGAGAGAGGCACAGTGAGAGAGGGAACACAAGCAGGGGGAATGGCAGAGGGAGAAGCAGGCTTCCCGCTGAGCAGGGAGCCCGATGCGGGGCCCGATCCCAGGACCCTAGGATCATGACCTGAGCCAAAGGCAGACACTTAACGACTGAGCCACCCAGGCGCCCCAACAAAGGGAGATTTTAAAAACCCAAAAACTTTTAGCTGAATAATTGTGAAATAATTTAAATAAAACAGGAGACAGCTCAGGAAAGTTGAATGGCTGTCTACTCATCTGAAAGTTTAAATAATATATGTAGAAGATATAAAGAAGGAAGAGTAATCAAGGATGAAGGTAGAGGTGTAGCAAATCTATTATGAAAGTGCCATAAACTAGGGCCCCCAATAAACTGAGGATCAAAAATATGGTAAAGTTGGCCAGAAGGAACTGGAAGGCTTTTCTGTTGTTGTAGTTGTTAAAAAGAAAAAGGAAATAATAAGTCTACTGTTTAGAGATGATAAGAGAAAGTATATCAAAGAAGTAGCAGAATCATTCAACTCCTATTTTTTCTTCTCTTTTCTAAATGGGTTTTTCAACTGAATATGGAGAAGAAACTACGAAAAGTGAAAATTTTAGCCCAAGATAGGTAAGGGATTAGTAAATTAACTCCAGGATATTTTAAATGAGGCCGGATAAATTACTATGATGGTAACAGAATTTTCAGCCATAATCTCAGAGCTACTGTTTAGTAGTCTTTGAAAAGTCATGGCAAAAAGGAGAGATACCACAGATCATTAATGACTAACTTTCATCTTTATTTTTGAAGATTAGAATAGGGTAGGTTTTGGAAATTATGGGCACCTTAATTCATGCATGCAGAACTGACAACAGATTGTTAAAAGGCTTGTTTTTGAGCATGCAGAAATGAATGTTATGGTCATTAGCAGCCAACAAATGTCAACTAAGGAGAAGCTTTAATAAACCAGTATGGCTTATTTTTTAGGAGGTTACTAGGCAGATAGATCAAAGGACTGCTTGAAAATCAAATAGTAGCTAGCTATTGTTATTTGTCCTTCCTTGATGGAGTACTAAGGGTTGCTTCCTCTCAAAAATGTCTAGTAATGGCTTTAAATAACACGAGAAAGTGTTTGTCAGGGTGCCTTTCCCCTATTTAGCATTTTTGTAAATGATTGGATGAACACAGACTTCTCAGTTCTGCAGAGGACATGAAAATAGGATATCTTAAGTAGGTGCTTCTCAAACTTTTCCACACAATATTCCTAATGGAAGGGGAAAGTAAACATGTACATCTGAGAAACCAGGGCAATTATCCTAAGTGGCTGCCAAAAGAGAGATGTTTCTCTGAATTATTTTGTCTTAATTAATAACTATGTGAATTTCCACTCTATTTCATATTTTTTAAAACTACAAAATAATTCTCTAATCAACTTCTTTCCTTTCTTCCTTCCTTTCTTTTTCTTTCTTTTTTGTAAAAATTGGCATCTCTGTGCCTTTGAATACTTTGGCACAGATTCTCCTCAGGTGCTCTGCTTATCTTCATCCAAGTCAATCATAAAAACCTTAAATAGAATAGGCTAAAAAACAGAGAACTATGGCTCTCTATTAGAGGCTTTTTCATGCTGAATAAAGCCATCAATGAATGGACTTATAGGATAGGTAAGACACCAAACTTGAAAAGGATCTTAATAAGATGGCATATTAACAGAATTAAATCTAACAGGGATAAATACAAAAATTTGCATTTAAATTGGCACAAATATAGGTGTTCAAGTGATAAAAAAATCTGTGACTTGAGATTTTTAATTTAGATTTAGAATGATTCCAATCATTCTATGAACCAACAGAGTTATGTAATTGCTAAGTATGGTAGCATTAAATTACTTTAATATAAGTGGTAGATAGACCAAGAAAGGTAACAGTCCCTCTATGTTCTGCATTAATAAACCATTTTTATAAGAGCAAGTTTAATTTGGGTGCCAAATTTAATAGGGACCTTGATAAACTATGGAGTATCCATAGGAAGAAAACTAAGATCACCAAGCATCTAGAAACTTTATCATGCAAGAAAGGGTTAAGAACCTAGAGCATAGACATAGACTATGAGGAGACCAGATGAGCTTAGTGCAGCACATGTCACTAAATGTTGTCCTAGAGCATGGTGCTGAGAAGCATCTACTTACGTTTTCAAAATGGAGGTTACTGGGTTCTGCAGGTAGAAATTTCGATTCAGCAGCCTGGGGCCTTGGAAGTTGCATTTTGATACTCAAGCCAGGGGAATGATACAGGTGAGGTGAAGACTCTGAGAAACACTGTTCTATGTAATGGATGTAGTAGCAGTATTGGAATTATAAAGAAGCAGAGTGGCGCCACATGAAAAAAACCAATAATCTTTCTTGGTAACAACTAGAGTTAGAAAACAGTATAGAAAGGCGTATTGCAATAATATCATTCGGGACATTCACGGATACTCCAGGAGTCAGGGATGATACAGAAGGGACACTGAAGGACACTGTAGACTGAAAGTCCTCTGGTCAATCATTTGGACTATAACAGAGAGAAAGAAAAATTAATAAAAGTATATTCATTGGTTTTAGTGGAAAGAGAATGCTAACATTGGTATTTATGAGTAGCCACTTTTTTGTTTAATTTATAATAA